GCAGGGGGAAGCAGAGTGAGTGGGGGAGGGAGGGAGGGACACTTCAGCGGGACGTCGTAGTTACAAGAGAGAGCAGAGGGGGGGGGGAGACAGAAACAATACGTAGGCTTCAAGGGGGTAAATGATAGACTATTTTATCTACTATTTATTGAATCCGTTTGAGAAGTGGTTTATTATGGAGGTTGCAATGTCTGAGTAACTGATTGTTTATTTATCTTAAAGACAAATCCGATTGTTATCAATTATCAACTACTGAACAACTAAGTTCACTTCCAAAGATCTACGGAGTGCAAGAGGGAGAAGGAGAAGAAGAAGAACCAGCCTGAATTCGATGCCTGAGAGAGGAGGCCTCAGCGAGGAGGCCTCAGCAACAGGCGGTCGCCGCGTCGCCTTCCCTCACACCTGCTACCGCTTCGTCTATTCTCACTCTCCCCTTAGTATTGGTCAGCCGCTCCTCCTTCATAAATGAGTACCACCTTCGTATCACCGGTTTGGGATTAAGTCCTTTGATTAGACTGACCGACCGCTCGACCACTTGATACTTTTGGTGACGTAGGTGTAGCCTCTCACTGCAGATCCGAATAGGGAGATCTGCCTCCTCAATTCAGTGGCGCAAAGTGCTTCTTCCTACGTTTCACGCCTGAAGAGCAAGAACAGCAAGATACGCACTAAGAATACTACTTGAGAAAATCGGTCTGAGCCACAAGTCACGTCAGGAGTATCTTCTTCATTAGGTGCCATAATACAGCAAGTGAACGCTAAATCCAATGGTTATAGGTACATATATAGACAGTGTGGCATAATACGGCATGGAAACGAGGCAACAAAAATATAAATGTGCACTGCAACTTTAGTGAATTGTCAGTGGCCAAAACAAATCCAGGCACAAATCATCATAGGATATAGCCCGTCGCAAAAGTGGACGGTTTTAGGAAAAACAATAACTGAAGCCATGGGCGCTCATCCTCGAACCGGCGAGGACAGCGCCTTTGCCACCTAGAGAACAACAGGCGTGCTCACCATATATTACCGCCTTGTATGCGCAACGGACACCAACTGAAAGGAGAACTGAAATCAGAAGTCATCGAGAAGGTTTCGATGATTGATCGTCAAGCCCCATCTTGAAACATGGGGACAATCGAAGAATGTATATCTCGGTCATCCATCCATCTCGAAATCATAGCGTAAAACGAACGGACAAGCCAGCAGCATCTGCTACGAGTATGGATACCAAACTGAAGCCGTTATTGCTTGCCGTCCGCTCGAGTTCATGTAAGTCGTCACGGTCATCGACGTGGAAGCCGAAAACCGAGGGCTTCCTACCAGCCCTTCTTCCGTGCAAATCGTTTGTTCAAAAGTGCGAGTACTTTCGAAACATTGAACTGGACGTACTCCAGGTCTAGGTCCTCCTGGTTGTCTTTCTGCATTTCCAACAAATCATCAAGCTTGAGATCCAGTTCCAGAAGGCCACGTGCACGACCTAGGTTCACCGAGTTAGCATAGAACTCACCAAAAGCCATAAGTCTGAAGTCTTCAGCTTACCTTTATAGTGGAGACTGATGACGAAGGTGCCAGGCAAAGGACTCTTGAACATGAAGTAGATATTCGCCCGACGGTTCTCAGGGACGTTGCTCTTGCGAATAACGCCCTCTTTCTCAAGCTGCTGATGTGTGAATTTGTAGGGTCCAAGTTCTTGATGCTTCTGCTGTTTCCGCTGCTTCCCCTCCGATTGACTTCGGACGTTGTGCAAGTACGACTTGTACGTTTCGAGCTGGCCCACCAAGTAGGCATTGTGATCACGGATGGTCGCAAAGACTTCTTCCAACTTCTTCGTCTCTTCCAACACCTTTTCTTTCAGAGATCCCAGGTGCACCAGCTCCTGTTCCACCTCGTCGCGGAGAAGACTAAAATCGTCCGACCGATCAATCACTCCCATCTCCTGAAGCTGGCTCAACAATTCCATGGTGCGAATGCCCTTCTTGACCATGGCCGCATCGCCGGTCTTCGAGGTTGCCGCCGCCTCTGCGATGCGATAAAGGCGAAGGGGGCGCCGGGCGACAGGAGAGTCTGGCGGCAAAGACCGCAAGATGTGAACAAATGTGGACTTGGCTTCCATGAAGAAGACTTCTTCTTGAGTGATGTCGAGGGCCGAGGTTAAATCATCCAGTGCAGTTGTTTCCCAGCGACTGAACAAGGGGACTGTGATGGTCCTATTCTCCTTGCGCGGAACCTGGGGCGGTGCTGTACCAAGCTCCTGCAACAACACATGGAGGTGAGAATGTTGATCTTGCGCCAAAGCCACATTGTGTTTCTCCAACAAGGCATGTGTGGCATACATCTCATTGAGAGTGATCTGCAACTCCAAGTCGCGCTTGGATAGTGCTATGTAGTTGTCCATTTCCAAGCTCTCGTAGAAGTCCTGCACTTCACACAGATCAAGCATAAACTTATTGACTCGTTCTTTGTTCTGCTCAATGAACGGTTGCAGTTTCGCCATATAAGGCTCCTTCGCATACGAGGGCTTGTTTGCCAGATTCTGAAGCATCTTGGCGATCAACGTCAGCGTGCGACGGGGCTTTTCCGTCGGAGTCGATTCAATCAGCATGTAGGAGCGTGGAGTGACAATGGCTGGGTTGATGAAGCGAAGGAAGAAGAATCCACCAATGAGGGTGCAGATCGTCTGGTCCTGCGCATCAGGGTATTTGCGACGAGACAAGCTCCGAATTTGCTTGCAAATCCACCGAATGCCATACGGGGCCTCGTCCACGTGATCGATGATCGTTGACAGGAACTTGTTCGCTAACTCAGTAAGCATCTTCAAGCGCGGTTCAATAATGGCCTGCACCTGCTTATTCTCTGCTGCAGCTTCCGCCGTGACAGATCTTGCGAGGTAGTCAGGCAGCGATCCATTCTCTTCTTCGATTTCCTTAACCATGGTCTCATAGACCTTGAGGGGGTTGATTTCCAAGTCCACATCACGTAGCTCAATCAATGAGTTGATCTGGTTGGCGAGTACTTGTTTCAGGTAACTTTGACCGGGCCCTCGTCGCGTATATGTGGTCATCATGCGTGAGACGGGGGTGTTCTGGCGGAGGAGGGACGAGTACTCTGGCGTGTTATCAAACTGATAGGTAAGAACAGACTGAAACATGGTGAGAAGCAGATGCTCCTCACGACTCTCATACTGGTTTCCGTAGATTGTGAACATGACCGTCTGCAGAAGGGAGTCGATTTCTGACATGGAGACTAATCGGCACAGATGGGCGATATGGCGCGGCTCGGATTGGAGGAGGAAGAGAAGATTGCCGTACTTCTGAGTTTTGTCGTCATTGGGAAAGAACCCCTCCTGGGGATCCAGGACTTCGTCGAGATGGCTCGCAACTTCATTTTGCTAGACTCAGAATTAGAGGTGGCAAAATAAACAACAGTGGCTGTCGGATTCATACCTCTTCTAAAGCCATACGATTCTGAATCAACAGCGCAATCCGAGAATCCAGATATCGGACATCTTTTTCGAGAACGAAATTCTTCTTCGATTGTGAAGAGATATTCGTCTTCAACTCTTGCAGGAACTTCTGGGCTGTACCGTCCAACGTTAGAACAGACCGAGGGGGCATTTCAGACCACAGCAGACTCACCCCTAGCTAGATCATCTGAAATCTCCAAGTCTCTATCCTTCGCCGACATTGACATGTACAGCGCATTCATTGACATCCGCTTCGACTGGCGGAGGGACCGCGTGTCGTGGGACGACATTGTGTTTTGACGCGTCATGGGTTGAAAAGACGAGGAAGATGAAGTAGACGTTCTGGAGGCAGGTTGTAACATGGTAGCAACCGACATTGTGTGAACAAAAGGAGTGTGACAGTGCGCTGAAGAGAAGCACTCGAATTGGCGGAAGTCGCGTATATACTACCAGCCACCAGCAAGAGCGCTTTCGGCGTCTTGTTATCGCTCTGTCTTGAGAAAGTCGAAGACCCAAGGTAATATGACACGGCAACGTCGACGAAACGCAACCCGGTAATGTCGTGCGATGAAGTGAAGCCCCTGTTGAGCGCGTATGCGGAATATGGCCGAAGGCGACCAGCGAAGGGGAAAAAGTGCGCGACCGTTGGATCGCGATTGAGTGGCACTGACTGACAGGTCTGGCGATAGGGAGGAGTGAGGGACCAATTTTGGGAAGTAGCAGACGTTGAACTAGCCAAAGTAAAGGATTGACAAGGAGCAGAGCGAGTTAGGGGCGATCCACAGGCGACGGCGATTCGAATACTCTCCGGCGGCTATAGGTCGGTTGGGAAGAACGAGGGAGTTGGTGGGAATAACTCCGAAAGAATTAGAGAGACGTTAGAATTGAAGGGATCGCAAGCTCGAAAGTGTGGGCAGGAGTGAATGATAAGTAGAGGCAAAATTACTGCCGTTTGTAGAAAGGGAGCGCAAGGCAAGGATGGGCAGGAATTAAATTAATAGATTGATGGAGATGGAGGGAGAGGAACAAGAGAGAGGGAAAGAGACTGAAGAGAGGGAGGAGTAGAAGGAGTCGTCTCGTCGGAGGGGGGGGCAGGAGGAGAAAGATGCCGGTCGGACGCAGATGGAAATCAGGGCCACCACCACCCAAAGTAGTACTAGTTAGTCGCAGTCCCGTCCTAACACCAGCAAGTATGAGCGAGTATAGTTTACACTGGCGACAATGCTGTTGTTGCTGGAATGGTGATATGGAGTGTCTTGGGGTTTATGTTACAGAGAACGGTAGGAATCAATTGAGAGAATGAATGACAGAATTCTAATTAGACTTCTAAACTGACGAGAAGGAAAGGAGGGTGTGATGGTACTGAATAGTAAATCAGTCAGTCCTAAGGTCAGAGGGAGAAAGAATGGATGGCTGGATGGGGATCAGAGGAGGGGGGGGGGGGGGGGGAAAGATGGATCATGGATTGCTGGTTCTGAGGTCAGTTTGAGTTGGAGAAAAGTGGGCAACCCAAGAACCAAAAGGGAAAGGCTAAAAAGAGTAAAATAAAATAAATTAAATTATGAATTTAAAAATGAAATGATACACATGTACGGAGGAGTACTGAAGATTTGGAGGGAGGGGGAAGGAAGGGGAGAAGGGAAAGATAAAAAAAAAAGAAATTAAAAAAAAAAGAAAAGAAAAGAAGAGGGTGGTGGAGTTCGTCTCCGTGTGACTTGCAGCAAAGCAACAGTGGGCGGGTTGAATAACAACCTTGAAGGGCCAAGCAGGTACGCAACGCGGTTGACTCGTTGACTGGCCTGGTTGGGTGTAAAAAAAAAAAAAGGGTGTGGTACATACAGTACAGTCACTTGGTGCTTGGTGCTTCCCAGGCACCGGCATTCATAAGCTACCCTCCCCCCTTCTGCCTTTTCTTCTTCTCCCGACACTACAAATTCATTTTCCATGCTGGTCGGCCCAGATAGGCCGAGAAAGAGGGGACGGTGCATGCGGTGGTACGTTGTAGTGTCTCAAATCTCAACGGCCGACAGGTGTGTAGAGTACTTAGTATGTATGTAGGTAGTACTTTAACTAAACTTGTATAGGCCCCTACACATTATGATAGATTGATTGAACTGGCGGTTACTCAAGCGCTCTCCACTCTTTAATCAAAACGAACCATGCCCTGTTCCTGGCATGGACAGTCTCCCTTCCTTCCGCCGCCGCCACCACCACCGTGGCCATCTCATATTCGCCAGGAAATATCGTGATCTCTCTTAGCAGTTATTCCGTACTTGCACTTCTTCACTATAACCGCGGGAGACAATGGAGATTAACCGAATTGATCGTCATCGGGCCATAACTTCTCCTTGGACAGATCTCCAGACATTGTCTATGGGATCCATGGCTATCTGTTTTGGATATAATGGCAGACCATCAACGGCGCCAGACTACGGAGTAAGTCGTTTTTCATTCAGTTTTGGCCCTCCTGATTGAGTTTTTAGGAATCCATCAGGTTTTCCAGTTGGATGCCAAGTTGCCTTTAATCTCTTCAGAATGCTTACAATAATCTATGAGTGGTCGGCAACCCACCAGTAGCCTTCCCGCGAACTCCTGCATCTGTTGAGGGCGAGGGTGAGTACCACCTGGCAGGTAGGGGACGGCGCGGATCCTGTCCGGGAGAAAGAGGAGATCATGGCATGCACAGTACTCCGTACTGTACCTATGGATTGTACCGCTCACCCGTCATCTTGATGCCAATCCATGCTTGCGACAGTCCGTCCCTTTCCGGGGTTCGTTGCACCAATGATGATAGTCGGATGATCATCTCCTGGGAGGTCGTGATTCGACCGGTAGTGCAGAGAGCTAGACGGTCGACATGCAGGACGACGCAAGGGGGGGAATAAGGGCACTTGTTAAGCAAGAAAGAACGAGCTAATCCGGGATGAGTATGCTAAGAACAACCCTAAGCGACTAGCAAAGACATTGCGTCGGGACTAGATAAGTTGATATCCACCTTGAATACTCCGTAGAACCTTAGCACGAGACTAAACAGTTATTATCCGGGTTCGCTTCCCCAACTCTTTTTACCCCTGGCCCAATGCGCCCATTCATGATCCCATGGGTCGTGCCATCAGGAGTTCGGTTCCTGAGCGGAGAATGTTGCCACTTGCCACTTTGTCCACGGCTCGGTCGGTCGGAAAAGCCGGGGCAATGGAGGCAGAACTGAGGGGGATGAAGACACGAAAGAGATCACTTCATGATTCACTTCGTATCTGATTCCCACCATTGACGCAACAATCCCGGAGAAGAGAAGCCCAACTTTTGAGTCTCAGATACGAGACATGGATCATAACGTAGTCGCATCGATTGTCCCCCGCCAGCCTTCCGGTGAGCGAGCGAGCGAACGAACCGCACAGTTGCAGAACCATGCAAAGGATGTTCCAGAGAGCATGACAAATTCCAAGATGATCTCCTAGAAGCTGCAAATGAGTCTTAACCTCTCAACCAATCTGGTCTACTCCGTACAGGACGCAGACTCACTCTTCATGATCTCACTACTAAGTGCTCGGTATACGTAGAGAGAGGGGCAAGGCCGAAGTCTGGTACAGGGTTAGTACGGAAGGTAGGCCCACCGTTCTTGTTCATCCTTTGTGCCATTTGTGGTCTTTTGCTACCGAGGACCTACCTACCACCGATTAGTTAGTTATATGTATAGGTGTACGTGTGTACGTGTGTACGTGTATACGTGTGTATGTATAGATATTTGGGAGATATCCATATGAAGGTAAGAATAGCCACGACCTGAAACCCTGGGACCGGATCAGACCAGATCAGACCAGTGGGGGTTCTCGTTCTCAGTTCCCCTGAATTGTTCACGCTGCGCGGCTGCAGCAGCACTGCAAGCAAGTGCCACTGTCGACTCCGGGTGTGACCCGTGACCACCGGGGCCACTTTTGTCTCCTCCTCAAGGAGTTTAGCGCGTCGACTAAAAGTTCCGCCTGATCAGATCGGGGGGGACCCAAGGCTGGTACCTGCGTCAACCTAAAAACCACCGAGTCAGGGCCTGTCTCGGATTGGTGCCACCAACTGGCTAACAGTACTGTAGCGTGTGTGTGCATTGCCGCCGCCTGTTCTTAATTTACCTACAGGTTGCTGTTGGGAAGCCTAAGGCACTAAAGTTAGAAGCCAATGCTTCACTGTTTCACATCTTGTTCTATTCTTGACGACATGCATATCACGTCGCCACGAAGTCACAGTCCCTCTCCGCTGTACTTTGACTCACAAGGTCTGTCCTCGATGAACACAACGAGGAGCCATTACATCATGACTCCAGCCGCTAACCAAACAATGGAGTCTATATTGAGTGCTGATATAGCCGGCTAGCACCTACAGTCGTGGCACGCATTCAAGCTAACCCCATCTGTGGATGTCCGCAAACTTAAATTTAGATTTAGTGATTGATGGGTCGACCTGGAATCTGGGTTGGGGCAAGGGACGCCCGCCTCATGCTGCACCATAGCAAACAATCCACGATGGCGGGTTACCTACAGTAGTCACATATTCACCTGTTCTGACTCAGCTCGATTGCTGATCTAGACTTGTTTTTAGCACAGAACTGACAGTCTTCGCCCCTTGATTCAGCCCATCATGGACAGTGACCAGAACATTGAGTATTGTTTGTCTATCCGGTGACATTGACTCCATCGTGGCTTTCTTCATATAGACGACGCAGGCTTGATTGTCCCTGTCAATCACACCCAGTCTCCTCACGTCTAGACACTGATCCAGCCTACCCAATCTCCCCGGGAATCAGATAGTGACATGTCGACAATAATACCGAGTACGACCGGACGAACCCCGCCATCAGCCCCAAAGAAACTCTATTCTCCAAGAGGACACCCGCAGTGCAACTTTCACAAGCGCAACTTGCAGCTGCTAGTGCCATTACAGGGTGTGCAGAAGTGCATGCATGTGTGTGCGACCCAATTGACATTTCTAGTGTCCCTCCACCCCCTCCACCACCTCCACCATGCGACGACATGGTAGTCGCAAACCGTGAGCTCGGGCCGCTTTTATTGTTTGTTGCTTCTGTGTCCAGGGTCACTTTTGAATCCTGGCGATCAGGCCGATAGATCGAGATGTCTGCCGACCACCAAAAGGCCGGGGATAGTCGACACCATGGTATCTCACATCGTTGATGACGTGGTCCAGGCATTTGGGGATCCTATTCCTTCGTGATAAGCAAAATTTGAGTTGACATCATACCTCGCGGAAAACAAGATTTTGATCGAGTGCAGTGTGCTGATCAGATGATCTATCTTCTCCATACACGTAGGTGTAGAGCCTGCTCTCGACGCGTAAGATCTTGTTGATCGCCTGTGGCATTGCTTCTCCCCTCACCTAGGATGTCCACCATCAGAGGTTCCGGTCAGCTAGCGGGTATGCTCATATTCCGTTGTATGTGGTTAGGTGCATGGCTATGGAGCGATGTACCCAAGACAAGCTCAGGAATGACATTTGCTTCGGTCAGATTCATCTGATCTTGTTATAGCAGACCTATAATGGTCGTTGGCTCTGGCACCCCAGCTTGCCTGTATGTTTAGGTAGATGCACCTATATGCGTCTCTATGACTTGCTCCCCACATCCGAGCAGCAAGATGCACATTCTCTGATTCTCATTCGAGTATGTATAGTTAGTACATGCAGAGTGGGAACAGTAAGCGGTGTGACGCTCGAACCTTTTGCCTGCCGATCCAGTGCGTATATCTCACAGCACACAGCAGCATCTCTCCACAGCACTCTAGCATCAGAACAAAACACGACGATAACCCTGTATACCTCCGGCTACCCTGTGAATCAAAAAGGCGGCAGGGCGGCAGTAAGCCGGACAACTAGACCTAATCCAAACGGGAGATAGTACGGGGGTGGTGACGGGCCGGGCTTGCCGAAGCGTCAACACGTGGTTCGCCTGCGGGAAGTCAATTACCGACGGAGCGGGAGTTCACTTTCTTTCGCATTTCGCATTGCGCATTGCGGTTTCTTCAGCATACTGAGGTCCTGCCGCGGGCCTTGATCGCGGGTTCTTTTCTTGGGTATGTCGACTACTTGATATGTCCTATCGATGTCAATCGACCAGGTCCATATAAAATGTTGGTAACGCAGACATTACGGTTCCACCGTAGGGGAAACCAATCGAAGCATAACCGTAGCCCATAAACTTTATGTCAGAAGATGATATCAATAGCACTCTATTCCATACAGAGATGCAGAAACAGCTTCTACACACACCTCCAGCCCAGTATATTCAACTGACTGCCTTCCTCCCAATCTGTATAGAATCCTCCTATACCCTTCATACAAACAAACTCCCCCCAAAAAGGCCCGGATCACATGCAAATCCATCCCCACTAAAAACCCAACCCAACGAAAACCTCATCCCCAGATCCCACTACACCTTCACCTTGACAATTCTCCCGAAACAATCGATTGCCTGAACCACACCCAACCCACTCAATCCAGACCGAGAGAACCCCGCAAGATGTCTCTCAAAACCTCCTACCTCCTAATCTACAACACCATCAACGCCCTCCTCTGGACCCGCATCCTCCTCACCTTACTCTCCTCCATCGTCCTCCTCGTCCCCCCGGAAACCCTCTACACAACCCTCGAACCCTGGACAAGATGGACCCAAACCCTCGCCAGCTTTGAAATCCTGCATTCCGCCCTTGGTACGGTCTCCTCCAGCCCCCCCACCCCACAGAAAAACAGCCAACTAAGAAAAAAAAAAAGGCCTCACCCGCTCCCCCATCTTCACAACCTTCACGCAGATCTTCGCCCGCGGCGTCCAAGTCTGGGCCATCAACTACGCCTTCCCGGAGGCCACCACTACGACGGTGGCCATCTACCCGGCCATGGTGCTGGCGTGGTCCCTCGCGGACGCCATCCGGTACACGTATTTCGCCGTGCTGAGTGTGGCGGGCTCGTCGGCGGTGCCGCGGTGGTTGCGGTGGTTGCGGTATGTTCAACCCTTGTGTCTCCGCTTATGTCCCCCCCGGTGGTTTGTTTTGTGGTCCCCTCGGGAGGGAGGAAGGGGGGAGGAGGTGGCTCCTGCTAACGGCGGCGTTTCCAGATACTCGCTTTTCCTGGGTCTCTACCCCATCGGGATCGCCAGTGAATGGTGGTTGATGTTCCGGGCGACCCTGGTGACAGACAGCGTCGCGGTGAAGGGGATCTTTGTCTTCTTTTTGGGGTTGTATGCGCCTGGTGAGTTTTTCCTTTTCTGTTCCCTTCTGGGTGACTTGGTGGGGCGCGGGGGCCGGGGGGAGGAGAGAGAGAAAGGTGGCTAATGCCCTTTGGGTTCGTTCAGGTTCGGTGATGATGTACAAGTACATGGTCAAGCAGAGGCGCAAGGTTTTGTCTACCGCTGCTTGAGTCTCTTTGTTCCGGAACGGTGGGTCAACAGTCGATCCACACTTGGGACAAGTATGAGTCGACCACTTATGTTCAGCAAGGTTGGTGGTCATGCCAATATACTACGTATATACAACGAACGACAAAGATAATGCTCTGCATTTCATCTGCGAAATATAACCCGGGTATCGCTATGCATACAATCGAATTCTAGTAAAAACACCCCCCGCCTCGACAACACACATTTTCCAACTTTTTTTGTTTCCCCTTTCTCCTCGCATGTACCGTACTAGCCTCAAAAAAAACCTGATCAGACGACAAATCACCGGAAAGTAGCGGTTCGGCCGGCCGTCTCGCGCTTCTGCTTGCGGACGCCAGATGGAGCCTCCAATGCCTTGGCGTAGGGGTTGAATTGCTTCCTTCTCGTGGGTCTGGAGGCCTGCTCGGCGGGGTTGGCATTCAGCATCGAAGCCGCAGCCTCGTAGTCGAACGGCGCTTCCTCTTGCTGCTGAGCCTGCGCGGTCTGGCCGGCAGCAGCAGCAGCCTTGTTCTTCTTCTCCTTGCGCCGTTGCTTCTTCGTTGGCTTGTCGTTCAGGTCCTGGTCCAGATCCGCCGCAGAGCTGACCTCGTCGGCCTTAGTGCCCTCCGCGTCTTCGGATTGCGGCTCAACGACGGGTGTAACCTTGCGCTTGCGTGGGCCACCCTTCTCCTTGATGGTGAAGTACTTGTTCTCGGGTTCGCTGGTCTCTGGTTCCTGCTTCGCTGCTGCTGCCGCCGGTGGAGCCGAAGTCGCGGCGGGTTTCGCGGACGCAGCTTGGGCGGCCGGAGTGGATACGCCGAACTTCTCGCGAGCTTCGGAGACCGTTCTAGGCATGGGTGGGAGGGGTAGTGACAGACGTAGAGCTTCGGCAGAAGCAATCGCGGAGATCTTGGGGGATGGGAGTGGGGACTGCGTGTCGAGCACGCCGCCCCAGAACTGCGAGATCTCGTAGCGGGCCGCCGTGGGGAGGTCTGTGTCGTCCGCGGTAGGGTCAGGCAAGAATCCCGCCACCCCTCCAGCGGAGGCTGCCGGCGTGCTCTTGGATGGCTTCACGTAGACATCGCGCCACTCCGGTCCGTCAGCACCCTCGACCTTCGCCGTTTTGATGATCTCCAGCAGATCATCTGTCCGGTCCTTGACAATCGGCGTCATAGGCGACAGGGTCCGGTACAGAGTGCCCAGGTCCGTCGGCATGGCCTGAGCCACTCTGAAGAGCACGTGCTTGGGGAACACACACTGCACACCTTCATCCTCCTCTCTCGCCACCTGGTCGCGCCACTGGTGCACCGCCTTGAACACGGCGAACTGCTCCTTGTTGATGACGATCTGGTTGCGAGACAGGACATCGTACCAGCCGCCAGGTCCCTGTCCGGTTGCGGCGTCGTAGACCGGACGTTCGTAAATCTGCAGGGCTTCCTTCTTGGACTGCTCCATGACATAATCAACCAGATTGTTATCCGGGGTCGAATTCTCGACGAGCTCGTTGCGGATGTGGTCATACACGTAAAGCAGGTAATGGGTATCCGAGCGGGCGTAATCGAACATGCCTTCCGGGATGGGACGAATGCGCCAGTCGGCCATCTGATATTTCTTGTCGGCTTCGAAGTTGACGAATTTCTGCAGCAAGAACTTCAGACTACGCTTCGAGTAGTTCAGCGCGCAGGCGGCGTGATAAGTATCGAACATGTTGACGACATACAGCCCCAAATCGCGCTGGAGCCAGATCATATCCATGGACGAACCGTGCAGAACCTTGAGAATACCGGGGTCGGCAAAGACCTCGTTCAGCACCTGGAGCTCCTCTCTCCACGGCTTCAGCGTATCGACCACCCAATCCTTGTCCCGGGTGCTGATCTGCATCAACGAGACCAGACCCTGGTACGAGTGCACATCGTGATGTTCCAAATCGATCGCGATCTCCTTAGCGCCCTTCAGCTCCTGTAGCATCTCCTGCACGCCTTCCAGGGTATCCACGAAGGTCGCCGTCGTCGACTCCCACGGCTGATACTCCCGCGGCGGCGACACGGTATACGTCGAAGCCGGGAATTTGGCCGCGCGGATCTCCGTCTCATACGGGTGCACATAGCCCGTGGCCGTCTCGCTCCGCTTCAGCGACTCCTCCAGCGGCACCGTCGCGTGGGGCTTGGACTTCAGCAGCGGCTTGAACGGCGACGTGTCGGAGTTGTCGGGCAGGTGCTCGAACAGCAGCTGGGGCTTGGGGATCTTCGACGGGCCGTAGTCGTAGACGGTCGGGAATCGGGCGGCGGCGGCCTTGCTCTTCGCGGCCTTGGCGGCGGCGGCGGCGGCCTGGTCCTGCTGCGAGGGGCTCAGTTTCTTGATCACGCCGGTGAACTCATCCAGGCAGGCATCCGCCCGCTCCAGCAGCGCATCGATCACATCCACGACGCCGCGCCAGTTGTCCTCGAGGGAATCGTCGTCCTCCAGCGTCGGCGCCGACACATCCGTGCCCGCCGTGGCCGCCTTCAGCAGCGTCGAGGTCAAAGAAAGAAGCCGATTACTCTGCTCGTCCAACGAGTCCGAGACCTCCGCATTCGAGGATCGGTGGAAGTCGACATCTTCGGCGGAAAGCTGGCCAACGGTGCGCGTCACTTGGACCAACGAGGAGGTCAGTCGCTGCTGGAACGGAGGGAAATCTGCGGCGGAGTTCATGGTTGCCAGCTCGTTGTAAGGTCAATTTCAGGCAACCCAGACACCAGGACAGAAAAAGAAAAGCCCGATGTGGTCTTCTCTTTCTTACAATCTCGGGCGAATGCTTGCTTGCTTGCAGTTCAAATTTCTTGTCCCGCGCAACAAAGGAAAAAAATGGCGCCGGCGGGTTCGGAGGTGGAGAAACGCCGGACGGGCTACCGGGCAAGATTGACCGCCTACCTATCTGGTGCTCATCAAGCAAGACCCATCGGAGTAACTATGTGCCTTACGTAATTCCATGATCAGCTAGAATACCACGATTTGCCTCCCCAAACCAGCATATCAAATCACATACATAGTACTATTTCCTTTACTTTAGATTCAGTTTCATCTCATTATCTAGTATCACATCTATTTGGAGGCCCATTCTTACGCACATTTAAACATGGCAGCCTCAATCGCCCCCGAATGCAACGAGATCAAAGAGTCAGCCAACCACCCACCTACCTTACCTAAAGCATCCTGTATATCAGAAAACCCTCTAACCCACTTTCCAACAGGAAATACGACACCTGCTTCCTGAAGTGGTACAGTGAGAGTAAGTTGCCGTTGCCAGCCTCGGCCTCTTCTTCCCTACCTCATCACTCTACCCATCCCAATTATCAGTCTTAACTAACCCATGAACCCCCAGAATATCTCCGCGGCAACACCACCTCCAATGACTGCGAGGAGCTCTTCACCAAGTACAAGACCTGCTTAAATGTATGTGCTTCCATGCTTCTCTCTCGCGCGGTCACTATCGCTGTCGCTGTGTCACGAACAGCGCTTTATTGGCGCTCCTCGAATAACCCCGCTAACATCTACCATCAGGTCGTCCTCAAAGAGAAGGGCATCGATTCCATGCTCGAGGACGCCCGGAAGAGCACGACCAAGGAATTCGACGCCGAGACTCTTCGGCGAGGTTGAGGTCTCCGCGCATCTCATGCCAATTCCTTTCTTCTTCGACTCCGTGGATCTAAATCACCTTGCTCTCTCTTCCTGGGAAACAGCTACTTCGGATCTCTCCACCCTCCCGTCAAGGAGGGGTGATGAGAAAGTAGGTATTTTGGCGCGTTGATTCTTCAGGACATGTACAGGGCAAAAAAGGAGGGGGGCGGTCAAACCCACTCCAGAAAAACTCCTGAAAACATCAAATTCTCTTACTCACTCATCCATATCTCATCTCATCCCGTCTCCCTCCTCACCGTTATATATGGCATGGCTTGGGAAGAGGAGGGCCGGGGTTTACTTGGTTTCCTCTTTTCTTGATCAAGACATTAGAGTTGTGCTTTTTACTTACGTGTACTATATTTTTTGATGTACCATCATGTGTGATACGATGTTTGAACAACATGCATTATGTATTATATACCTATACCATCACTCATTGCGCTGACTCTCAACCCGCCAGACAGCTTGAACCATCCATGCATTATGTACTTCATCCTTGTATGCTCAGAGCATAGAAGCGTTATGGAAATCATCGATGGCCTCTTCTCCGCAGATCCCCTTGTCCGAAGGTCCCCGGAACCTTCAGGATCCCATTCGCCGCCGTGCCAATTCCGCCACCCATCGATGAGGAGCTGCTGCCTCCACTACTAGTCTTGCGGGGCTGTGTCAACATGGACCACACCTCCATCATGGTAGCACGGCGCGCGGGGAGCATGCTGTACTGCATGCCGTAGAGGTTGCGACGGTGGATAGGAGGCACGAAGCGGCCGGTGACGAGGCAGAAGATGACCCGCGGGGCGAGGTAGTGTTTCCGGAGACGATGGCCCAATTGGAAGTACTGGTCGAACATGGCACGAAGCGCGAGCGGAATGGACTCGAAATGGATATACGGTACACTAGTCGTGGACTTGCCGGTTGCAGGAGACTTGTCGTGCTCTTGCCGGAGTTCGAAACGGATCCCGCCTGGATGGACCACACTCCATTAGTGATATAGCCCTGAAATATTCTTGGAATATACGCACCAGGTAATCGTCGCGAGTCTTTGACTCGTAGCATCAGTGCAAAGAGCGGAAAGTGATTCAAGAAGGCTAGGCAGGTGTCAAGCGCTGCTTTCAGTGAGATGATCAACATTCGCGCACTTGCGAAGGCGAGGTAAAAGACGATCACAGTTGGCAGGAGGAAGAAAAGGACAGTGAACAGTATAGTGCCCAGCAACAGCTGATCGAGATCATAATCGCACGAGTCGATACGGTTGCGGAGCACATTTCGCTTCTTGCCGCGGAAGAGATGGAAAAGCGAGATGATAATGGTCAGTTGCCAGTTGAATATCCGCGCCGATGCAATGTAGAAGGAGTAAATGTGGACAGTCAGGATAGACACCAGGTCGGAAAACAGGGCAATCGGCATGCTTGCCCCCGCGAAGCTTGAACATCCCACCACGTAGATGACATGTGGAAGGTAGGGTTGCAGGTTGGCAATGCAAGCTGAAACATGATATCAGTATGGCTGGTCTGCCTTGAGAACGAGGAAAGATTCAAACCCACCTGCCCAGTTCTCTATCACCCATAGAAAGAGATCTCCAAGGAACGCAGCGAGCTCATTGTTCAATTTCAGGCCAGCCGGCCAGTCCATCAGCCAGGATATGGTACGTTGCAGCCCCTCCACTGTCCAGCCCGTCAAGATGGAGTTGATCTGGAAAGCGACCCAGTTGGCGTTGTCTATGATGTATGACCCCAACGCGATCCCAATGATCACATCATTAGCCACAAGCCACAGGCTGTTGTAGAATCGAATATAGTCCGGATGACTAGTTGTCACACTCTCCCAATTATCTTTCCTTTGTCGCAGCTTCACATATTGAATGGGCCAGTAGCAGAATTGTTGAAGGCGGATGTCAACCTGCTGAGCGGTAGCAGAGATGTCCTTGAGCGCAGCAGCGTCGGGGCGAGCGCGCCACTCCAGGATCTGCAGGACAATTTCTGCGATGGTGCGGTGAAACACGAGCCCGACAACAAATATCCGGGTGATTACCGGCCAGATCCACTGCCAGAAGACGTAGGATACGCCGAGAACGAACAAGTCCCACAGGGTTGTCGCAGACTCTACGACCCGCTCTCCGACACTCATGCTTCTCTTGACCCGGATTCCAATCAGATGGCTGTTCTTCTCCATCAGCTTGCCCATCTCGTAGGCGCAATTGACCTGGTTGATGATGAGGGGCAATGCTTGCTCCTTTAGAGACGGGACATGCTTCACGACGGTATGAAGCTTGAGCTTCTCCACCAATTTCCCGCCCTTGCCCTTGTCGTGCTCCTCCTCGGTATCGATCTTACTGGACACCGCATCGGGTTGATCGGCCGTGACCACCTTATCTCCCAGCGCCAACGAGATCGGATCCAGCGACATGTACTCCATCCGAGTCGGATGCGGCCGGTGAAACATGATGACCTGCACCGAGAGATTCGTCTCCGGAGGGCACCAGATCCGTGGCACCTTACAAGCCGGAGTCGTAGTGACATAGAGATGCGACGGATTGAAGGCACTGGGCGGGTCTGGGGAGTTGGTCGAGCCTAGAACATGCATCGCCGATCGTCCACACAATGTAAAGATGCGCACAATTGGGTGCGGGCTGTTGCGAAAGAGGATGCCTGCGCGAAGAGCATTGTCGACATTCCGTGGCTGGCAGTCAAGAAAAAAGCAAGATGTCAGCATTTTCTGGCTCCTCTTCACATGCCCAAGACGAGCACAACCCAGACACAAAAGAGCCTTACCTCCACACCCTCCAACACAGTCAAGACAAACAAATCCAGTTCCGAATTCCTCCACCCGACAATCACCCCCGGCGATGACGATCGCGGCAAATCGTATGGCCAGAATACCCGTAACAACCCATCGCTCATGAGCATGTTGTCATTCCTTCGGCCGGTGCTTTAGAACGAGCCGCGACGGCGCAATTGTTCTCGAGCGGAGACCCCTAGGTGGACGTAGCGCGGGTGCTTTATACCAACATATATCGATGATCAGCATATCCTCTCTCTCTGTCTTGAACCAGACGTCCACAAAAAGCGAACGTTGCAAGCATTGATGACATTCGACGCTTATGAAGTGCGGGATGTATAGCATACCAATTCACCCTCAGTCGCCGCCAGATGATTGATGGGGAGGACGAGCAAGAAGAAAAAGACCGACAAGAGAAGAAATCCTTTAGCCGTGCGTGTCTGGGTACAGCACAACAGAAAAAGAGAGAAAGTCAGCCAACAAGATTCGTTCGTGGTTGTGATAACAAACGCCAGGTCCACCCGATGTTCAAGTTGTGCGCGTTCAGCAAAAGAGGGCCACTGGAAGCCATACCACCACACCGTGATCCCATGCAAAGATCGCTAATTCGTAGAGCCGGGTGACAAGATCCCACCTCGCGGTGATGTAGCCCGCTACAAAGATTCCGAGGGTGAGGATGGAAAAGGGGTGCATGAATCAAAAGTCGTTTGGTCTGCGGGAGGTGTCGCTTTAGGTTGCGCGCATCGCTGAGGGAGGGAGGGGGTTTGGTAAGGAAGCGTAGGATAGAGCAAAGAGCGAAAGTAAAGAGCCGGTAAGAAGGGAGCGATGGCCACAATAAGAATCCAGGTGGAAAATGGGATGAAAACAACAATGAATGTCTCTGGAAGCTTGTCTCCCCAGCTGGCAGGATCAAGTGGTTTCCCTGTTACGGCGACAGCACAGGTAACTACTCCCGCGCAACCCTGCGGCGTCTCGACCTCCGCATTCGTGCACGTGACCTGTAGTTTTCATACAGCATCCAGCCCAGCCCAATTCACATACAACAACACCTCACCTGCGTGCCCCTCTCAGCCTCCTCAGCCCTCTCCTCCTTCTTCCGCTCCGCCTCCTCCTTAGCCCTAAACTCAGCAACCTCCTCCTCATCCAGATTAGCAATGATCTCAATCACATCCGGACGCCCATCCGCACCGCTGGTCCCCGCATAAAACGCCAGAGCCTGGAAGTATTCCTCCGGTGCGTTCACCCGGTACGACAGGGCATCTTCCTTGATGACCTCCCGCACCGTCTTGCCCCCCGATCCGCCGACGATGCCGTCTTCCACGTCGCCGTAGATATGGTAGCGGGCCCAGACCGCGTCTCCATAGCGGGCGTTCCGGATCGCATCGACGTACATGCTCGTCCACGGCTCCGTAAACTCGGTGCCCCAGCGTGAGTGGAGAACTTGCTGGATGGGCAGGTCCAGGAAGAGCTGCTCGGCTAGTTTGGTTTCTGAAATGGTGGTGGTGGGTGCGCTCATGATGGCTTTTGGGGGGGGTTTATGTTTTTAGCTTCTAGGCTAGTTTTACTATAGGGAAATTGTGAAATCCTTGGTAGGTTTTTCATTCGTACCTTGGTGGTTTTTGCTTTTGGTTGAGGGCTCGAAAGAACAGACAAGGGTCGGAAGGCTTGGTGGATGGCTATGCTATCAGCACAGAAAATTGACTATCCAAGAAGCAAGAGGTTTGTAAAGACGAGTTATAAAAAGCAAGGTTAGGATGGACAGTACAGTACATACTAGGATATTCATCCCAGACACCTAGTCAGCCACCCTGTGCTGCCTAGACTTAGCACAGGGCTGGGAGGCTAGGCTTCCAAACCAAGATACCGGCAGCCTACAGGCTAGCTAACGCCACAAAGGCACCAGCGCAGACTATCGAGATAGATCAAGAGTCGGTTCTACCAACCCAGTGATGTTCCATAGCATTGTAATCCTAACATACATACAATATGATGAATCCCATTTTCCGTAACTCCTATCCGCTAGAAACAAATACCCGAACATTTCCTGATGATCATAAAAGAAATCTACAGAGCCTTAATGCTCTGGAACACTTTGTTCGCTTGCAGCTTGGGATCGCTCTTCACCAGATCGCGCATGATCTGACGCTTCTCCTCCACGGTGAGGTTCGTCCCGGGTGACTCGACGGCCGCCTTCCATTTGAGCAGCATCTCCTTTAGAAGAGCGCTGCCCTCTTCGACTTCCTCCTGGGAATATTTATCGATGGAGGACGGGGCTGACTCCTCGCCATCGCCTTGGGTTCCAGCAGAGGTGAAGTCCTCCAGCTCGTCCGCCTTCTGCCGCGCCATGTTGACCACCTTCTCGGGGAAGCGCACCAGTTCGGCCACGTGGATCCCGAAGGACTGGTCGCAGATGCCGGGCTCCACCCGGTACAGCAGGGTGACCTGGTTGCGCTTGGCGTCTTGCGCGTCGTCTTTGGGCTGCTGCCCGTCGGCCCCATCGCCGATGAAGGCAACGACGTGCAGGTTCTTCGCGGACTTGGGGTACCGGTCCGCCAGGGCTGTCAGCTCGTGGAAGTGGGTGGCGAAGAGCCCGAAGCAACGGATCTCGGTGACGATGTGCTCGGAGATCGCCCACGCCAGACCGAAACCGTCGTAGGTGCTCGTTCCACGGCCGAGTTCGTCGATGATGATCAGGGACTCGGAGGTCGCCGACTTGAGGATGTTGGAGGTTTCCAGCATCTCGGCCATAAACGTCGAGACGCCCTTCAGTTGCGAGTCGCTGGCCCCGACACGCGCAAGGATGCAGTCGAAGATGGTCAGCTCGGCCTCGCTGCACGGCACAAAGCATCCCGTCTGCGCCATCAGCGCGATCACTCCGATCTGCCGGATATAGGTCGATTTACCGCCCATGTTGGGACCGGTGATGATGAGGAAGGACGACTCGTCCCGGATCAGGGACACGTCGTTGGTGATGAACGAGATGTCATCCTGCATCTCCATGCAGGGATGGCGGGCCTCCTTCAGAATGGTATTTCCCGTGCCGCGCGGGTGCATCTTGGGACGGACATACGGCGTTGGGGCATGAACAGCGGCATGGGCAAAGCTCACCACAACATCCAAGTGGGCGAGAACGCCGGCAAGCTGCTCCAGCACAGGGCAGTAAGAGGCCGCCACGTTGACCACCTCACTGACCAGACCAGTCTGAGTGCGGTTGTAGTTGGACGAAAGCTGGTCATGCTCGCGGCGCAGCGCCTGCATTGTCGATGTGGTGAAGTACACGCCGTTCTTCTGCGTCGAGCACTCCTGATACTCTCTCTTGTTCCGGATGCAACCAGCCTCGTTACGAGTGAGCCGGAAGCACCATCCATGCACACGGTGATTCTCCATGAACAGCTTCTTCTCCACCTCCTGGTCCAGATCCCGTCCCACCCGACGGTGCTCTACGTTCATATCATGTCGCAGCTTATCCAGCTTCTTGCGAATGATGCGCAAGCTCTCATCAAACTCCGGCTTGATGATGAACTCGTGATTCTCCAGCGCGTCCAAGTCCACGGTGGTCTCGACCATCTCCTCCAGCTTGGCCAGACTATCTGAGAAACCGCGCAGCTTGAGGGTGTATTCTTTCTCGAGTGGGGTCTGGTACTGCTCATCCATCACGTTCTCCAGCGAAGCAACAATCCCTGGCAGACGAATCGCAACCTGGTACACACGGACCACATCCTCCAGGGTGGCCTGCTTGCGCTGAAATCGCTTCGCGAGGCGATACAAGTCAGGGATCGACCGCAGATGCTCTTCCTGCATCGTCTGGCGGAGCTCCGTATCCACCACAAAGGCCTCCACCAGCTGCTGCCGCTTCTCGATCTCCGCGCGATCCATGAGCGGCTGCTTCAGCCACTGCGCCAGTAGCCGGCTGCCCACGGGGGTCTTGCAGTGATTCAGCAGGCCGAACAAACTCATGGACTTGGATCCGTCCCGCGGACCGGGCATGAGGTTCAGCGCGCGCAGGGCCGACGCGTCGAGCTTCATGAACTGCGACAGATCATGCTGAAACAGCTGATACTGCCCGAAATTCGAGGCATCCGTCATGACCCCGAGGTACTTGATCAGCGCCGCGGCGGCGCCCATCGCCAGCTTCAACTCCGTCTGCGGCAGCGTCCCCGCGGACCGCTCATCCCGCAACAACCGCGTCAAATCCTGATCAATATCCTTCACCCCAAAATCCCCAGCGGGCCGCTCCGACACCGCAATGCCACAGCTGTCCGCGATCGCGCGGATCTTGGCCAGCTCGACATCCTTGCGCCCGGCGTCCATCTGCACCAGACACTCCTTGACGCCCAGCTGGATGACCAAGGACTCGAAGTTCGAGTAGACGTCATTATCTAAAAACTCGCTCACGCCGAGCTCGCGCACGCTCGCGTCCGCGAAGCACACCCCGACGTGGCGCGCCTCGCCGGCCTTGGCGGAGATCTTGACGGCCAGGATGATGGGCGCCGCCGCGTCCAGGCTCAGCGCCCCGACGCTGCCCAGCTCCTCCTCCACGTCCTGTAGGTTGCCGGGGCTGGCCTGCTTGGCGAGCTTCCACGAGCCCGTGCCGCGCCCGCCGCCCGTCGCCGCCGTCGCCCAGATCTCCACCCGCTTGTTCAGCCGGAAGAGCGCCTCGCGCAGGAAGTTGCGGAACACCGTCACGCTCATCGTCACCGAGGGGAGGCCGCCCGTCTCGCTGCGGCCCAGGTTGCGGAGCACCGAGGTCGTCTTGTAGACCGTGCGCGCGATGAATTCGGCCTCCGTCCCGTGGGCCGAGTACCAGTCGCCGCGGTCGAAGATGCGGATGGTGTCATTGTTATTATCGGTGTTGGTGTTGGTGTTGGTGTTGTTGGAGGAGATGGAGCGGTAGAAGCGGATGAAGCCGACTTCATCGTCTACCTGTTTCAACAAGAAGTTATCAGCACTTGAGGCGTGGTGTTTCGTTGTGTTTGATGGTGTTCACGGGCGGGGGGAGAAGAAAAATCGCATCAATTGGCGATGGAGCACTTACCCTGAGATCCGGCCGCGAAGACATATTGCCAGAAAGCTCAACGAGGACAAAGATGACTTCAGCTCTGAGCCAGTTTGTCTGTTGTTGTTGGCTACGGTCTGGTCAAATGCGGATGAGGGAGCGTGGGTCAATTGATAGATCAACGCTGCGACGCGGTCAGTGGCAACGCGATCACGTGCATACGCGTTGCGGCGCGGAGGCCGGAAGTGGTTTTTATCCAATCAGCGGGGCCCACTAATCTACTAGGTAGGTGAGTTCGTGTGCCTACAGTACTAGTACAGACACACGTCGAAATTGGTTCCAATGACTAGGTAGTATAATCAAGACATTTGAGCAGATGGTATGAAGGAGAGAATCAATAATTGGTATATCTATTAGTCGATAGAATGGGGCTATGCCAGTAGTGCAGTACATAACAAATGCCGCTTAATATACAGGACATGACACATGCGATGCTCAATGCAATCATAACGCCGGAACTGCATGCCAGGCATTCCGGATTGAGGTATCACGACATCCAAAACGAGTGAGGGTAAATCCAACCAACAATCATTTCACTTCCAGGGTGCCTCGCCAACCTGCTCCCACCCGATCTTCAGCTGTGCAACCCGGGCCGCTATCTCCTTGGGCTGCACATCGGCACAGGATCTCAGCACCACCGATCTGAGCTGATTCACCATCACGATATTGACCCATTGTCCCGCAACATCCTCCTGAGCGAGAATCTCAAGACAGATCTCGACCTCTCGATCCGCCACCGGATTGCGCAAGGAATCCTTGACGTTCTGGACGATCGTCTCCATTCGGAACGGCGTTCGCTGCGCCGTCATCACCGCCTTAGCACCATTGCCTGTATACCCCCTGGGTCTCAGCAGAGCCAGGACGCCAGCAACCTCCTCGACCCGCTCCGCCGCCGCTCGCTGGAGGAGCATATCCTTCGTGGGCGGGGGCGGCAACTTCGCCTGTCGCAGCTGCTTGTCCTTGATCCGTTCCAGCAGGCCCTTCTTCCGCGCACTTGCCGCATCCAGCGACTTGGCCGGAACAGAGTCCTCCTGCCCATCCGCCCGCAGCTTCTCGGTCTTCAACTTGATCACTCCGCCCTTGAGATCCTGCAATCGCTGCTGACCTTTCCGGAATGTCGTGAAGGGGACCAACGACTCATGAATGGCCGATACGCCCAGCGTACCCACGAAGTCCACCTTATCCACATCCCCATCCGCTGCATCCAGTGCCTTTTCCCAGAGCAGATCAACCGTCTGCTCGAACCGTTCCTGTAAGTCACCGCTATCATCATTCCGCACCGGTGCTGCAGAGAGTGGTGAATTCGTGTTATCAGCAGCAGCAGCGACAGCCAGTTTTTCCAAGCACACCCGGCCCAACCCATAATTCGCGATCCTGAACGAGAACGACGATGTCGACTGATCATCCTGCTCCATCACCCAGATCAATCGCTGCAGGTCCTTGACCACCACCTTCCGCTTCTTCCAGATCCGCTGCATACTGGGCAGCAGTTCCCGCAAGTCTGCCGGGCGATTGACGCCGTTGTGCATCATATGGATGGAGACCGCCTTCTGGAATGCCGAATACAGGGCCACCAAATCATCCACGCAGGCGGGACGTTCTACGACCCGCGTGTCTACAGTGACGACACTCGCCTTCCGCGGCAACGATGCTGAGGTCGTTCTCCTGTGGGTAGCGGCCCGCTTGGATGGCGAGGTCGGGATGTCGTCTTCATCTTCTTCGCGGGCAGAGGAGCGCGCGTAGTGGCCGCTTCGGGGGGTGTTGAGGGCAAGCTCGCCGAGTCGGAGGGTCCGGGAGGGAGTGGCTGCCTCTGGGACGTCTTTGGCATCGGCAGGAAGGCCGGGCTTGCCTGCCTCTTGCGTCGTCGATTGTCCGCCGCCAGAGGTGACGTTTTGCAGTTCGTGCAGTTTCCGCTTCTTGGACGGTGAGATTGGAAGGCGGGCGGTAGTGGTGGTGGTGGGGGGGGAGGTCGTGCTTTTCGTCGTGGACGGCAGGGGTAGCTGCTGCTGCTGTAGTTGCTTCTTGGTGTCCGCGAGCGATTGAGGAGTGGTGACGCCGGGCTTGGTCGCTCTTGCAAAGGTCTGAATGCCGGCCTGACCCCGGGGAAGGGCGGCCAGTCTGGCGGAGGTGCGCGGCATCGCGGTTTCCTTTGCAGAGGAGGAGGGAGAGAAGGAAGGAAGAGATAAAGAAGATAGGAAGTGGCTATTGTGCAAACATGGAAATATCAGGCAGGTAGAAATGCACAACAGTAATATACTAAAAGGTAGTTGGTGGAAAGTGGGTTTATGGAGGGGGATAATATCTGGGGAAGTCTGTTTGACGGGCGAGGGAAAATTGGGGGTGTATATTTTAGTCCCTTTTGTGAGTGAGGGCGCTTGGATGCTTTTTTCCCGGGTGGAGCGCGTCGACGCGGGTCGCGTTTTTCTGGAGGCGTCGCGGCCGAATGCGGTAATATTAGGATCCCGCCGCGGCCATGATCAGCAGGGGTTAATGAAAGCCTGGAGCAATCTAAGGTGATTTCTCCGAGAATAAGAAATGCGCTCTGAATGTTATATATCAATTCGCTTCAATTCTAGTATAGATTTCCTGCTCTACCATTCACAATGCACGGCAACCCGTCACTACAGTAATCATGCATTGGGAATGTAGCATACCGCGGGCAAAGTGGCCCTCATCTACTCCACATCGAAGCCCTTATTTGTCTGATCCACCCAAGAATGCGATTTACCCTGATGCAGTCTAGGCCTTTCAAATTAGTCCTGATTCTAAGGTACCCAGTGATAGCATCCCGTCGCAGAATTAGTTCGTGCTCAGTGCTCCTTTGCGGCGCTGGCTCCAGTTGCGCCCCAGCGAAGTTCAAGTATGCAATCTCCGACAAAACAATGGCCGTGAAGAAGGAAAACGATAATTGAGAAATTGATATTACCGAACCGACTCGAGTATAGTATCAATCATAAACCTCCCCGAACCCATCATCACGATAATAACATCATCCATCATCCATCATTCGTCGTCGTCGACGACGACGACAAAGATAACAGCAACAGAAAAAAAAGAAATGAAACACACGCAAGGCCCAGCCAAGCATATGCAATCCCCTCACCTTTTCTTCCTTCAGGAAACACAAACGTGAGGTTTTTCACAAAAACAAAAATCAGATCGCAAAAGGAATCAACTCAACTCCCGCCGTGAACTGAGGAAGAAAAGAGACACGATAACAACAAGACAGAAAGAAGGATATTCCAGGAGGCACCAGACACAACTTCACTCGACTCAACTAACACACGCGCGCGCGCGCGAAAGTGTTTCGAAGCGATCGGTCTGTCTGCTCGGACGCAACCAAGGAAAAGTCTATTTCTTGCCGAACCATCCCGACAGGGCACCCTTGGCCTCGGAGGCCTTCTCCTCGACCTTGGACTCGATCTTCTCGGCGCCCGACTTCAGCTCTGCGGTGGTGTCCTGGCGGATCTGGTCCAGGCGGCTGGCCTGGTTCTTGGCCTCGGCGCGGGCGGAGTCGACCTATATCCCCGTGGAAACAAATTGTCAGCGCGAGTTGCAAAGTTTCTCCTTGAAGTATATGAGGAGGTTGAAGTCGGAGGGGAAAAGAGAGGGAAGGGAGGGGAGGGGCTTAAAACGTACCGCCTGATCAACGTTCAAGCGAGCCTCATAAGCGGCCTTCTCTCCGGCCTTCTCGGCCTGGTTACCCGTGGGGGCGTTCAAGCGGGCGAGGTGGGCATCGTCTGTAGAAAGTGGCGTTAACATTCATAACTGTGTATCATCGAGACCGCGCAGACCACGGCAGGAAACTTACGCTTAACCTCCTGCGTAGCACCCTTGGGGTCACCACCGGCGCGGTAGAGGTAGTAACCACCCAGACCGAGGGCGGCAACAGCGGCGTAAACTCCAGTGCGACTCTGAGCCATTGTGATGAGATTTGCGTAGGTAGTTGGGAAGCGGGGTGGTAGAAAAAGTTGGTGGGTTGGTTGGTTGGCTTTGGTTTGTGTGTTGTTCCTGGATTGCGGAGTTTGTTAAGTGAAGAAAATGTGAGCTATTCAGGTTTGAGTGCGATGAGGAGTAGTATTATATAGTCGTCGTGTGCTACGTGGAATCTTGGCTGTTTGTTCCCTTCAAGTCCGTGGTTGCTGGCGCAAGCGGGTTGGGATCACAGGGTATGACGTCGTCGTCGTGGTTGTGGTGTTGTGGACTGGGCTGGGCTGGGCTGGGCTGGGTTCGGGGACTAAGTTGCTTAGTCGGTTTTCTCTCTACGAGGCACCGTCTCACTATTCATAGACTGCACGTACTGTGCTTCCTGTGCGGGGAAAGCCTCGGGTTGTTTGCTACCTGCTTTGTTTGTACAACAGCTAAATTTGAAGGGTTTGCATCTCTGCCAGGTTTAGTCTTTTACTACTACCTCCTAGTACATAACTCAAGTGAAAAAATTCACTGCAAACCCTCTTTCATTCTACAAGTTCCAGCACACATACTCCTCAACAGTGGAGGAAGACGCCGAGTCGGGTGCGGCAGCCATCGGCCGATACTACGTCACCTGAGAGTCATCATCATCCACTGGGGCTTGTTCCATGGTGATCTGGCTGACAAGGTCTGTCACCAGGAAAAGGTACCTTAACCCGTGGGTTTGACGTTACTGAGATCGTGGAGTCGACTCGACAACGTCATGATGGGTCCGGCCTCCTAATTTAGCCAGCTTCAAGCTGCAGGGGAAATTATGAGTAACTTACTTATTCTTCTGTGGCTGATTATCCCCTCCTGCCTTCGGGTCCCGGTCCAGGTCTTGGTCTTGGCATCATTGCATCTAAATTGGTTTCGTTCTGGTATTGGCTCAATTACTGTTACCCGCAACTAATTGCTGAACCCCTTGCAAAGCAGAAAAAAGGAAACAAAATCCAAAGACATGAAGCGTCAAAGCCCCACAGTCGCCAAGAAAATGACATACTAAAACATGATGGCCAGCTGCAGCAATTCACATCATCACCACCACCGAAAGAAGCAAATAAACCTCGGTATAGACAGCGTCAGACGAACAATCGAAGCCACACCACGACCAGAGTAGGAAACTCCTTCCGTGATCTCATTGCACTCGCTCGAGATCAAGGCCGGGGGGGTATCTTCATGCACTATGGACAATATTCCGTTCCGGAAGGACAAAGAGGGAGAACGCCAGAACATGCAGAGACAGAGAGGAAAGAGAGAGAGAGAGAGAGAGAGGAAAGACCCCGAACAAGATAAAAGTAGGAATTGCGAAAGCCCCAGTTGTTCCAACCCACCGATGCATTATTTCATCATTCATCACTTCATAAAGATTCCCGCAGCCGAGCGGTGCGTGCAGCTCCGAGTATACGAGAGAGGTCCAGGTTCTAGAACTCCGCGGCTATATCCAAAACAAAGAAAAGGTCGAGGAAACCCATGACAAGAGGCCAATGCCTCGTACTATACAACTCCCGCTCAAAACAGATGTAAAGAGAAAGAGGGGCGAGCCCGAGCAAGGTCGGTTTCGGATGCGGGATCGCTCAGGACGTGATCACCGGATGACAATAGGAAAATACTCGTAAATCACAGGCACAATTCCCATTCAGAGGCCGTTCAGATAAAGAGCTTCGTGGCGCTTTTGTTCTCGCTGGTGGCGACAGCGACGAGCGCTTCCAGTCGACCCATTCCAGGTTCCCGAACCGAATGAGGAAGGAAATCGGACCGAAGGTCACGTTTGCCGTAGTGGCTATCAGGTTGGGGGGCTAGAGGGGGGCAAGCCTGCATTCCAATCAGTGATCTGGCCCTCATCGTTGATTCTGGTAACGTGTGCGTACTGTTTGAGATGTTTCGGAGGCAAAAGGCGGGTGATGCTGCTCCACATATCCATTGTTATGCACAATTGCGGGATGGTATTCCAATGACGCAGTAGACGGGGTATGGACTCCTTCGCTGCTGCTGGAATCTTCGGGTGACGTTCGCGTCGCCTGAGTGCTCATAGTAACACTGCTGAATGACGGAGCATGGCCATGTCCGCGAGATTCCTGCAGTTGTTGCTGATAAGACGAGGATGGCCGGGAACCAACATTCTGGAGTTCGGCAATGGTTTGCTGGCCCCAGTTTGCCGCATCTCGCTGAGATGGTTTGTCCCGGATGTGAAGTCCGGTTAGGTTTGTGTGCAGTGACATATCCCAAGAGACGTGACCCCGTCGATGACCGGGGCCCGAAATTGGCGGCGCTGGTCGGCTGGCCGGTTGCGTGTAATTAAATCCTCCTCCAAAGTTGTAGTTCGGCGGTTGCTTGGTCGGATTATCCATTTGCATGGGACTCGGTCGTCGAACGGGCGGGGTCAGCGGTCGGTGAGCCACCACCTTATCAAAACTCTCAATACCTGGCAGTCGCGGAGGCTGCTCCGCCGACCCATTGGTTTTCGCCGACGGGTGGAACACTTCGGGGGTCTGGTAGTTACTGAGGCCACTGGTGGCTGGCCGAGGAACGGCAGACCAGGTCGAGGGGTGCCATGTCCTTCTGCGTAGATCGGCGTCCGAAGCTCCGTGATTCATCTCGTCGCGAGACAGGGAGTAATTAGTGCTAACGGGGCTGGCGTACACTCCGCCGTGCGCAACGTACGCGGGGGGTGGAGCATAACCTGGAGGATAGACGTTGGCAGGCTGCGATGCGAATGGGTTTGCGCCTGATGGCACAGACAATCGACGAGCGGCTGTCTTGCCCTCCCAGAATCCCGAGGTCTGGGACACTGTAGACATTGGCGAAGCAATATGAGGGCTACCATGAGGCCCTGCCGCAAAGACATGGTGTGAAGGTGTGTAAGGGGAGCCACCGGCCTGCGGTCCTGGCAGGCCCCGCCCCGGAGGGGTGCTGGGAGCATCCAACGTATCCATCAGTCGCGCTCGATCATTTGCCATCATCAATGGCGCAGGCCGTCGGCGAAGCTCCTGCGGTTGACTGAATGTCGATGCAGTGGAGGTGATGCTCGAGGCAGAAAGGTTTCTGCTATGGCCCCTACTGTGAGTACCTTGACTGCCCGCCGTGCCCGCTCTCGCGCGACCCTGGGGACGAACGCGATCTGTTCGAATTTGTCGCTGGAATCTGGTCCCTGTCGCCGCCAGCGAGTCTCCTGGAATCTCCTCGTTAACGTGCACGGTTTGGGCATGCTGGCGCAGGTTGTCCAGTCGAGAAAAGCGGCGGGAACAGTGACATTGAAACGGGCGTTCGCCGGTATGTTTCCGGATGTGCCGAGCCAGATGCTCACTCCGTGTAAAACTCAAGTTGCATGGTGGAAAATCAGTGCAGTAGAAGCGTTGTCCCTTTTTCTTCTTCGATGGGGGAGCATTGTCCTTGTTGTCCTCGTTATCAGAGCCTTCACGTTCCCCGTCCGAATCTCCATGTGCGGGCTCATCTGACGTTAACGATGCGCTGGTTTGCGAGTCTATCGGGCGGGTGGAGTCATCGTTGATATTTACATTCCGCGGAGTGCTCTCGTCCGTCTTGGTGCCTAAAGATGATGCAGCGTCGGAGCTGGAATGAGGGCGAGGGGTGGATGATGTCGTCGCGTCCTCCATGACCCGATCTTGTGAGGTGGACATAGTATTGACAGGTAAGAATGAAGACATATTGGCAGGAAGACGACTGTGGATTGGGCCCACAGCTATGTACTGTCGTCGATAACAGAAATGGTGGGATGACGGTCGACACACAAACTCGATCGGTTTCAAGGGAGAGGAATGAGGGTGGGTTTCAAAATGTCAAAAACGCGGTGTCGATCGCACGGTGCAAAGTGGTCCTAGACATCATAGCGCAGTTAAGGTAAGCAGGTAATCCACGTTACTTTCAGGTGTAATTTATCTTCGATGTTCCATGAATTTTCGCCTCTCAATATGCGGTAACTGAAACATCATGGGGGGAAAGAGGGACCGAGGGGTGCGGTCGGTGAGAAACCGAGCTAGTCTGGAGGACGAAAAATAGAACAGAAAAAAAAAAAGAAAGAAAAACAAGCAAAAGGACTTACACCGGAATGAAGAAAAATTCACTTGCCTCCCAAAAACCGAGCGAGGGGTGAGAGAGTAAGGAATGTTCAGAGAAGGATGATGGCGATGACTTGTTTAACCGAATGCCCGACGACGATGGCGAAGCAAGGGTAGCCAGGTGGTACACGATAGATGGAAAGGAACGACCATTAGGTGCAAGAACGCATCGCTTACAGATCGGCCTGACCAGGAAAAGGCAGCGGGCACTCAGTCACGGGTAGAAGGGTAGGTAGGTAGGCCGATAGACGGGGAGGAAGGAAGAGAGGGACTGAGGAAGAAGAGGAGGAAGTGAAAAGTGAAAGGATAGCGATGGGATAAGAGTTGGAAGAAGAAAGAGGGAGAGAGAGAAAGATAGTACTGAGAGTGGTTTGGTGGTGAGTTATCAGTGTCAGTGGTCAGTGGTAAGAGATAAATGGTGTAAGGTTCAAGTTGGCGGCGGCGGCAGACTCGAGCGAGAGTTTCCCGTTTGGTGTCGAGTCCTGGAAGATTGTTGTTGGGGGGAGTGTGGTGGTGGTAGTGGTGCAGTTGTGGTGGTGGTGGTGTGGGTAATAGTAATAGGTAAGTAAGAGTCAATGGGTACGGAGACTGGGTAAGGGTAAGGGTAAAGGTCAAGGTATGAGTAGGTATGACAGTCAGGACAGTCAGGACACCGACCCAGCCAAGACCTGGACTAGAGTGGAATAAAAATAGGAGGAATCGTAAACCGATCGGAAAGCCCCTGGTTTACGGATCGTCCGGAGAGAGCAAATCAGCCAAAATAAGATATATAGGTCAAGAGACAGGTCAAATCGGATCCTAGGCCAGCTCGAATATAAGATGATCGCTTCAATGTGACCCGTTTTGAGAGGGTTTGGTTGGGAAAAGGGAGATCCTTTTTGCTCTTTTTTTTT